CGGGGTCTCACGAAGGACAGCGCCCCAGTCTGGCAGGAGCTTGGGGATCAAAGGTGGGCCTGGCTGCTCTCCTGCGGGGCGCTGGCCACCCACGCCGGCCACTCGCTCCTCTGCCTCAGGCACAGCAAACAAAGGGCTCCCGTTGCAGTGTCTGGCAGAGTGATCAGAGTCGGCCCGGAAGGAGGTCGGGTCGGGTCGGGTCGGCCCGCAGCGCAGATCCTCGGTGTGGGGACTGCAGGCCACGACTGTTTGCGCCTGGGCAGTTTGGCGGTGGTCCCCAGGGTGCCTTTGGGCTGCGGCCGCCAAGCGAAGTCTCCCTGGCCTCCAAGGTCTCGTGTGCGGGAAGAGACCAGGGGAGCGGGTTAAGCCAAGGACACAACGTGCTGGCTCCCGACAGGCGCCCGGCAGTGTGGGGGGGCTCTCGAGAGGAGCTCGCAGCCTGCCGCAGCCTCCAGCAAGGCAGCCCAGCGGCGAGGGCAGGGCCTGGCCAGGCAGATGCAGCGTGGCAGGGCCGTGGGGCGCAGGAACGGGGAGGGCTGGGCATCAGATGGCTCTGTGACAACAGGAAGAGCTGCTTCCCTGCTTGGCGGGGGGTGGGGGCGGACAGCTCCAGGGGTCTGCAGGCCCCTTTCTTCCTGCCCTGCCCCCTCCCCTCCTGGCTCCTGTGCACACACCAGGCAGGCAGAGGGCCCCGGCAAGCAGGCAGGGAGCCTCCTCATCCCCACCGCTGCCCAGACCAGAGGAGCGGCAGCTCCAGCGGGCTGCAGGGAAGAGCCCTGCCCCGGCAGGGCCGCCCAGCGGGGCTCGGAACACTTTCTGTCCCTTCGGGGCAGGAGTGGCTCCGGGCAGAGGAGCTGGTGCCTCCGAGGGCGGCAACGCAGGAGGCGCCCCGGGGTGGTTGCACTGGGGAGGGGGGAGCAGGGTGGTGCCCGGGTGCGTGAGGACCCGCTTCTCCGGCCCGCCTGCCTTCTCTTCCTTGCCACAAAATCGCGCTGGGGAGGCCGGGGGGCAGCTGCGCTTGCTCCCCAGTGGTGCTGGAGCCTCCGCATCCCCGTCGGGCACAGGTGCAGCGGGGCCTGCCGGGAAGGCCACAGGACGCCTCGGCATGGGGCAGGCTCGGTCCACGAGGCCGGCCTCACTCCCCGGCCCAGGCTAGCGGAGCCGGGCGCCGCCGCCTCCCTCCGCCCGCCCGAGCAACGATCCCAGCGGGGTGCGCGGCAGGCCTCGGAGTCGTGGGCCCGTCCGTCCGTGTGGACGCCCAGCAACGGGCCCGTGAGTTGCAGCAAGGCGCTTCTGGAGACAGGCTCCTGCAGAACCCGCTGGGGAGATTTCCTGGCACAGGCACCGAGCTGTCTTGGGCCGTTCCTGCCTTGCTTGCTTCCTGTTTAGATTTCTGCAAACGGCTCTTTGTTTCCTCTTCTCGAACACTGACGCTCGGCACGCCCACGTCCTCAACCCTTTCCTGCACAGCCGGGGTGGGGAGCACGCCAGGCCCGCAGGGGCACAGCGCTGGGACACCGGTTCCCGCCACGCGTGCCTCCGTCGGCTCCGGGACGGGGCGTGCCAGGAGCGAGCTTCAGGCCTCTGGCTGAGCCACCGAGGGGGCTGGCGGTCCTTGAGGTGCGGCGCCTCAAGTGGGTGAAGCCTCCACACGCCCACCTGTGACCCCAGGGGTGCGGACCATGCTCTTGACTCCCACTCCCATCATCCCCAGCCAGCACAACCAGTGGCGACGAAGGTGGCTGCATGCCAGCCATGTTCTGGGGCCTGCCCACCCTGCCGTACACATTTGCGAGGGGCCATGCACCACCCAAGGAGGGCGCCCGCAGCAGGCGCGGGCCGAGCTCCCGGGGGCGCTCCATGTCCCGGGCCGTCAGCAAGCAGGCAGTCGGGGGACGAGGGACGGGACATGCGAGCGAGCGGAGGCGGAGAGGCTGCCCTCACCTGCGCCAGGCTGCTGGTCCAGCAAGGAATGGGAGAGGAGCGTGTGCCGCCTCCAACGCGGGACGAGGCCCCCCAGGCCCCGCTGCAGGGCCCGAAGGAACTGCCGTGCGCCTCTTGGCAGTTGGCCCTGGAGCGGCCTGAGCCGGGAGTCCCCAGTCGGCCGGCGAGAAGTGCCCCAGCTGACATGTCCCTGGAGACGCTGCTCAGCTGGAGGGGGCCGCCCCGCGAGTCGGGCGTGGGTCCTTCCAGCGACGGGCCGCTCCTACCCAGCGGACGGAGGGGAGGCGCTGCCAGCCGCACTGCTCCGCTCTCTCCTCTAGCCGGTCCCCCAGGGCGCTGGCTGCACCAGCCACCGCCGGCAGGGCAGGCTGCAGGGCTCGGCTGGGCTCCCAGTTGCACAGGTGCTTGCCCCAGCCCTGAGGGATGAGAGGCCCGCTCGGGTGCGCAGCTCCCATCTTCCCTCCGGCTGGGGCAGCCCGGACAGCCTTTCCTGCGGAGCGACGCGTCTGCGAGGGCAGCGCTCAGAGAGATGCTTGGAGCCTCTTGGCCACAGGTGCCTAGACGCCCTCCGGTCCATGGCACTCGGGATGAGGCCCAAGCTGCGCTAAGGATATCGAGGGCCCGCGCTCTGTTTATCGAGCTCCTTGTCCTTCCCCCCATCTGGCGGCAGCCTCCCCACCCGCCGCCTCGGCTTCTGAGGACCGATAGCTTGCTCCAGGGTGCAGCCGTGGAAGGGGGGGCAAGGCCCAAGGCCCGCCGGGAGCGGGGCGGCAGCCGGGCTCCAGAACGGCCGCCCCAAGACTCCCGCCGTGGCGCTGCAGCGGCACGGGGCGTGTGGGGGAGGGTTGGACGCTTTGCTGGATCTGGTGGGCCTTGCCTTATGTCCGGGGCTGCCGCATGGGGTGCCGTGCCGCCGTCTCGCTGGGCTTTGGAGCCGCTGCCCAGCCCTTCCAGCCCCGCTCGGCGCCCTTGCCCACCCGCAGGGATGCTCGTGCCTGCGCCGGGCAGCATCCAGGCTACGTGCCCCGCGAGGGGCACCCTCCGAGCAGCTGCGAGGGGGCCTCCGCAGCGCCTTCCGCTCTCCCTGCGAGCTGGCCAGTGCAGTGCGGACAGGCGTGGGTTCGGGCAAATGGCAAGATGCCCTCCCAGCTGGTGGTCAGAAGCAGCGGGGGGGGGTGCTTGGATCCACGGCACCAGGCTGAGGCAGCCGTGCAGGCTGGTGGCCCGAGCCCCTGCGGGGACCCTGCAGCCGCCTGTCCAAGGACAGCCAGGCTGCCGTCATGCGCGGCGGGGCCTTACGGCGCCCAGCACTCTCCTCGCCCCTGCCAGACGCTGCGCACCAGGGCGCTGCCTGGCCTGGCGACCCGTGCGGTGCTGGCCAGGCCGCCCCCGCTGCCCCGAGAGCCTCATCGCTGCCATGAGCCCGGTGTGACCCGCTTCCCGCCTGCAGCAGTGGCCGGCAGTCCTGAGCTGCTGCTGCTGCGTGGGCCCCAGATGCCCCCCGGCTTCCTCCAGCCCCTCCAGCCAGCGGAGCCGGGTGGGGTGAGAGCAGGCAAGCGCTGCCCCAGACAGAGACGGAGACGGAGACGGGCTCCCCTGCCTTCCGGAGCTTCCGGAGCTCCGCCATGCGTCCGACAGACTTGTGGGCTTCCTGCCTGGGCTCGTGGCCGGCTGGGGTGGGCAGCAGGAGGCTGGGCCAGGGGGACCCTTTGCTGGATCTGACAGGGCTGCCTCACGTCCAGGGCTGGACCTTCCCCGACTGCCCTTGCGGGCTGCCTGCCGCATGCCTCTTTGTGGGAACCGGGGTTGCCGGGGCTGCGCCGCCACCGCCATCTTCCCCGGGAAACCCCACCCCCCCTGGGGCCCCAGAAATGCGCTTAGGCTGGGCCCCGGGGCCATCCCCAGTCAGCCCGGAATGTGCTCGTCCTGCGCCGTGCGGCACGGGCCCTGGAAGGGGCCCCGGAGGTGTGCGTGGGGGGTGTCTTGGCCGCCCTGCAGCGGGCGAGTCCCCTCTGCTTTGGACAATGCCGCCTGCCAGGCCGGGGAGGACAGGATGCGCCAGGAAAATCCCCACCGGCAGCTGCCGCCCAAGACCCCTGCCGGACCAGCCGTGCCCCGGCTCTCCCGCTTGCCGGCTCACCCCATGCTGGTCCCTCTGCGTGCCTGGCCCCCGGGGGGGGGGCCGCTTGCTGGCGTCCCCCGGAGACATCGCTGAGCTCAGCACCGGGCTCTTGCGCTAGTCCTGACCGTGTGACTGGCAGCAGGCCGACGGGCCAAGTGCCTATTTGGAAGAGTCACTTAGCCAGAAATAAAGCGCGTTCCACGGGACGGGCAGGTCAGGGCAAGAGCAGCTCGGGAGCTGCAGGGACAGGTAGCCGTGGGCACAGTTTGGCGATCGACGGCCTTTCAGCACCTGGCTGGGCCGGGCCTTCGACGGCGCCTGAGCAGAGGACTGCTGGGAGAGCCGCTTGCGCGCTCCTCTGCCCACGGCTCCAGAACTGGAGGTGCCACGGGCAGCCCATTCCTGGCAGCCCGGAGGCATGCGCTTGCTCGCGCAGCGGAAAGATGCCACGCTTGGCATGTCAGACTTCGCACTCACTGCCAAGGCTCACGCGCCGCTGTTCACGGCACACCTCGTGTCCCCTGGGCGGGTTGGGGTGCATCACCCCCCCAGCAGTCCCCGAGGAAGGCGAAGGGCTCCCCGAGACCCCCGTGCAGAGGCGGAAACGCAGCCAGCTCGGGCGGCCCCGTTTGCCGTCGGGCGGCCCGCACGAGCTGGGCCCAGTGTGGCTTAGATCAAAAATGCGCTGCACATGACAATCCGAGTAAGGCAGTTAGTGACCGCGATGCGCCCTGAGCGTAAATTGCCCGGTGTGGAGGGCTCAGAATGGCCTCAACTGCCAGCCCCCAGAAACCTCCCAAAAGAGGTGCTGTGCTCAGATGAACGGCACGCCTGGGGGAGGCCGGCTGGAATGGCTTTCATGGAAGGGGGCCCCCCGCACAGCCCGGCCGTCCCTGACCGTGGCGCCTTCTCTCTCTCTCCCCTCCCTCTGCAGACTTCTGAAGCTTGGAGGAACGTGCCCGCGAGCGGAAATGCAGAGCATCAAGTGCGTGGTGGTGGGCGACGGAGCCGTGGGCAAGACCTGCCTCCTGATTTGCTACACAACCAACGCCTTCCCCAACGAGTACATCCCCACGGTCTTCGACAACTACAGCGCGCAGAACACGGTGGACGGCAGGACTATAAACCTTAATTTATGGGACACGGCTGGCCAGGAGGAGTACGACCGCCTCCGGACACTTTCCTATCCCCAGACCAACGTCTTCATCATCTGCTTCTCCATCGCCAGCCCGCCGTCCTACGAGAACGTGAAGCACAAGTGGTACCCGGAGGTGTGTCACCACTGCCCCGACGTGCCCATCCTGCTGGTGGGCACCAAGAAGGACCTCCGGGCCAACCCGGAGGCCCTGAAGAAACTGAAGGAGCAGAACCAGCTGCCCATCACCACCCAGCAGGGCATCAGCCTCTCCAAGCAGATCCACGCCATCAAGTACATGGAATGCTCTGCGCTCAACCAGGACGGGATCAAGGAAGTCTTCACCGAGGCCGTGAGGGCCGTCCTCAACCCGGCTCCCGCCAAGCCCAAGAAGCCGTGCGTGCTCTTGTGAAGGGTGCTTTCCGAGCCTCTTGTCCAGCCCCCGCTGCAAACCGGCGCTCCCCGGAGGCGGCCGTGTCCCATCCCGCTGCCCCGCGGGGCACAGGCGCTGGCTTCCGCCTGCTTTGCTCTGGATGATTCTGCCATGACTCACCCTCTCCGCTCGCTGGCTCCAGCTTTTCGGCCCTGACTTCCCCTCCCTCTGCAGAAAAGGTACCCGGAGACTGAGGCGGGAGGCGGGTCACAGCTGCGCGGACGCACGGGCCGCTTCTCTGAGATAACTGTCCTCCCTCGCCGCAAAGCCAAGCCGCTTCCCGTTCGCCTGTCGGCAGCTCACTTCTGCCCTACAAGGCGAAGGCTCTTCTGCTGCCCGGCGCTCCGTCCAGCCTCGGCCTGAGCCAAAAGCCCCTCGAAGGCACCAGCCGGGAAGACGGCCGAGGGGGCCTGGCCAGCCTCCTGCTTCAGCGCCCCGCCACCCTGTGCTCCGGTGCAGCCCCGACAGACCCTGCCAGAGCGGACGGGGCGCAGCAACGCAGCTGCCGAGGCAGAATTAAGGCGGCCTTCTGCGTAACTCCAGGTTGACTCCCGCAGCTGCCACCAAGGAAGCCGCAGTGGCAGCCACTGGAGTCTCAGGAGGAAGGCCCTGAACCCCAGGCCCCCGCCACCCCCAGGCCCCTTCCCTCCCCCTCCTGCCCCCCCTTTCTTGGAGCTGGTCCCTCCCAAGCGCTTGCTCTAGGAATCCACAACCACTTCGCAGAGCAGGACCTCCAGCCTGCGGGCCGATTGCTGGCCCCCTTCATTTGCGGGAAGCTGCGCGGTCCCTCCTGGAGAGCAGCCACCCCCAGGGTGGGAGGCTCAGCCAGGCCAACTGCCAGCCGCTCCCCCAGTATTTCCTCGGGGAAGGGGAAACCCTGCTTCTCCCCAGCTTGGCAGAAATGGGCTCCGTGCGGAGGATGCGCGCACTTCACAGGGAGGGGAGGGAGGACCGGCGCTGCGCTTCCCCAGGCACAGCACAGCCCATGGCCCTTCCCTCTGCAGGCCACCTCCGGACTCTGACGGAACCCTCTGAGCGGCCGGCCCAGTTCTGGGGCCAGCTCCACGGTCATGTGAACGAGGAACCCGCCTGAGTGGTCCGAGCGCCGAGGTTCTCCGGGCCCGGGAGGAGGAGACCCGCAGCATGACGCCTGGAGCACGGGGCTCGCCACGGCTGCCTCCTGCCAGGCTCGCTGCCCAGGTGCCGCCCGGTGCTTCTGTGGCCGCCGCTGCCGTGCCGGTGCCGCCCGCTTCTCCCCACTGCGACGGGCGAGCCCCAGGCGTCGCCTCGCGGCCACGTGGGAAGGCCCGTGGAGCCGCGTGAGTGTCCGTGCGACTTGGAGGGCAGCCCGCGCTCGGCCTCTTCCTTTGGCGAGGAGGTGGCCCTCTCCCCTCGGTCGAGGTGCCCCGTGCTTGCTCCTTTCAACTGCACTGTGCAGAAGCGTTCCCAGCCTCGTGCCTTCTTGGCCTGAACTAAAGGAAGACGTGATCCGCAGTCCCCCGTTTTCTGAGTTGCTGCAGCTGAGTCCTCACAAGCGAAACCAGACGGTGCTGGCTGGGTGGAAGGGGCCTGTTGGCCCTGGACCCGTTCCCACAGGCCTCCTTTTATCTGAGATGAAGATGATGTGGATGGGAAATGGATGGGCTTTGTCTTGTGAAGCTTAAATAAATTTCTAAATTTGCAGATACAAATTGTATGCAGATTGTATGCAGATTTGTGCCCTATAGTTTGTGCCCATGAGCATTTTCAAGAGCCTAGCGATGCCCTGTCGGGCGTTCCAGTAGGAGACAGGCGGGCGGACTCAGCAGACACCCAGCTGTGGTGCAGAGCGGGGCTCCCGGGCCATCCGGTTCAACGGGCTTGGCACAGAGACTGCCGGCCGGCCTGTGGCGCGCGAGCGAGCGCGAGAGGAACTTCCCGCAGATGCGGTGGCCCTGCCCTGAGGCGCTCGGCTTTCTGGAGAGGAAGGAAGTGCAGGACAAGCCCCGATGGAGCAAGCAAGAGCCCTGGCCCATCTGGCCCGGCTCCTCAGGGGGCCAGTGCGCCTGCCCCCTTGGAGGGCCACAAGCGGGGCGCACCTTTGCTGCCGCCCGTGACTCGGGGGGCCGTGGTCCTGTGCGCAGAAACACCAGCGAGCCACAGACGCTGGGAGGTCACGCGTCCTCCGTGGGTCCCCCAGGTCCTCTTTTGAGCCACCCTCACCAGCCGCCAACACCGCATCTTGACCTCAAAGCAGACGCAAAGCACTTCCAGCAGGGGGCACCCATGAGCCGCTGTGCCCCCTTGAAGCGGCCCGCCCAGTTGGCCAGCCTGATCCGCCACGCGCGTCCTGCAAAGCGCCCCCCCCCAACAGGCGCAGTGCCCTCACGCTAGCACACGGCACGCCTCGGCACTTTAGGGCAGGGGGAGCCCACTGGCACCCCCCTGATCTTTCGGACTACAACTCCCATAAGCCCCAGCCTGTCTAAAAGACAGCTGCTTGGCTGCCACACACGACCTGAAGGAACACTGTGGCAGTTCTGTTAGGAAGGGGGGGGGGGGAATCCTGGGATTTCTGCCCCCTGGGGCCGTGATGGGTGAGAGCTGCCTGCAACAGGCCCGGGGCCACTGCCCTTGTTCTAAAATCTGAATTGGAACGAGCTGCTCCTGCTTTGCACTGGGAGGGCCTGAGCTGGTGCCACGGGAGCTGGGACGCTGGGGGGGGTTGACCCCCTTGCAGCCGGGGAGCCCAGCTGCAGGGCCAGAAAGCTCGGCCTGGGGGGGTGGGCAGGGAAGGGGGAAGGGGCCGACTCTGGCAGGCCGCGGCTTCATTTGCATCCCCACCAGGCAGAAGCCGTGGGCACTGGCCAAGCGAGCGCTTGCGCTGCACTTTCGGTTCCCCTCTGCGAGAACGGCAAGCGAGGGGCCTGGCACCAGCCGGCTGGGGCCGGGCAGAGGCTCTGCCAGGAGCCACGAGGTTGGGAAATGGCCCCCTCTCCTTGGAGCATGCTGGGAACACAGCCAGGTCCTTGAGCTCCCCCCCCCCACAGCCACGGCTGCAGTGCCCCCCACCCCGCTGCAAGCGCAGGGAGCCCCCTCACACTGGGGAGGCTGGCCGGGAGCCACCGGCTCAGCTCTGGCTTCTCCAACAGCTGCTCCCTCCTCTTGGGGCCCTGGCCGAGACCTCTCCAGGCGCCCCGGCGTCCCTGGCTGGGGGCTGGCCACGGGGACGCCACCCGGCCCCCCAGCGGAGGCAGCGGGGGCGAGCATTGCAGCACTGGGGCTGGGCGCCTTGAGGGGACTGCAGACTCCTCGGATTTCTCTGCCGCCTCCTTTCCTCATCAAAGCCCTGCCTCAGGCCCCTTCCTTCCTTTCCGACCACACCACCCTGGAGCAGAGGCCCCAAGACCCCTTTCAGCAGCTACAGCTCCACTTCTCCTGCTGGCTGCGAGTGGCCACAAAACCTCCCGGTGGGTCCAAAACTGGCTGCTGAACGGGACACAAGGAGCTCCTCAACGGCACCCTGATTTCAGAAAGCAGCAGAAAAACTGGAAAGGGTCCAGAGGAAAGAAATAAGGATGATTCAGGGACTGGAGGCAAAGCCCTGTGAGGAAAGAGTGAGGGAACTGGGCATGTTGAGCCCTGAGAAGACTTTTGGGGGACATGAGATTCCTCCATAAGTACCTCAAAGAGGAAGGTCAAGATCTCGTCTTGCTGAAACCAGAGTGCAGGACATGGAATAATCAGTTCATGTTGCAGCAACCCAGATCCAGGCTGGACTTCAGGAAGAGCTTCCTCACTGTCAGAGCAATACGACAGTGGGACCAGCTGCCTGGAGAGGTGGGGGGCTCCCCCACACTGGGGACATCCAGAAAGAAGCTGGGCAGCCCTCTTGAGTGGGAGGTGTAACGTGGTGTCCTGCAGCAGCAGGGGCTGGACCCGAGGGCCTTCTTGGCCCCTTCCAACTCTACAATTCGAGGATTGTAGGATTCTGTGATTTCTACTGGGCAGTGACTGCAGCTGGAAACTGCCCCGAGGAAGCAGGTCCAAGTCAGAGACTGGAATGATAGCCAGGTATTTCTGAAGTCTTCTTGCTTTTTGGTACTGTCCATGGGGTTTTTACTGTCGCCCTGCCTATTTAACTTAATATGCAGAGCACATCATGGGAAAGGCGGGGCTAGATGAATCACCAGCTGGAATTAAGATTGCTGGGAGAAATATCAACAACCTCAGATATGCAGGTGATACCACTCTCACGGCAGAAAGTGAAGAGGAACTAAAGAGCCTCTTGATGCAGGTGAAAGAGGAGAGTGCAAAAGTTGGCTTGAAACTCAACATCAAGAAAACTAAGATCATGGCATCCGGTCTTCTCACTTCCTGGCAAAT